TCGATAAATTAATAATCTCACTTAAATAACAAAATTCTTCGATCCCAACTTTGACCAATATGTTAAATTAATAATTCCACTAAATGTATAAGATAATAATTTTTTTGAGATCCTTTAAGATACAACGAATATATAAAATAATAATTGATTAAATTCATAAAATAATAACTTGACAACATTTTTTTTCAATTCGTTTTTTTTTTAAATATGCATGTAAAATCTCGTTTTTTTTGTTTCGCACCCAGACCACATTTAACTTTATACCTAATTTTTTGATGTACACACTACATTTGACATATATTTTTTTTTTCATTTTATACAAAGTAATTATTTAAGAATACGATTGCTTGAAATGTTTCTTTTGAAAACAGGGTGGGTAAAACCCAATTATTAATCTTTCAAGATATTAAACTTTGAAGCCATTGTATGTTTCCTTTTTAATGTATGTATACGTGTGCCTTTTGGTGTGCTTTCAAATTAAATTTTAATTTCACCACATTCAATTTTTTTTTTCAAAAAAATAAATAAATTCTTACATGCATTATGGTGAAATACAATACAAATTATTAAAAAATAAAAAAATATATATAAATTAATAATTTCTCTAAAATAATAATTTTTTTCTACCCCCGGTATTATTATTTTATAGAGATTTTACCGTGAGTACTTTTAGACTTCCAAGAAAATGTTGAGGCCTTCCACCTAATGTAAGTGCTCATACAAGAGAAGTGGATTAGTTCAAGAATTTTGCTACTTTGACAGAAAAATCGTAACAGATGTGATGATATAATCTCAATTGGCAATAGATGAATTGATGGGGACGTTGACAATGTTTAAAATAGTCAAATGATAAAATGTCACGTGACAGTATGTCAATCATTATGTTAATGTAGTATGGTTGTTAATTCACAAGTAGAAAGATCAATACAAATCAAAAACTCACGAGGATAATTTCGTCATTACATAGGTTGAAATATCGAAAAGCTCTAATGTGCTGAAAAAACAGAGACAGGTGCCGATTCTTTTTCTGCTCCATCATAGTGTGACCTCTCTCTCTCTGTGCAACTACAAAGTTATTTTTTCTTGAAAATTGCAGAACCCCAATTATTTATCAATATACAATTACAAAGTAGATGAGGCTTGAAATTTTTATTCAGTAATTTTGAAGCAAAGACGAAAAACATCAACGAAACCATTATCCCTTCCTTAACTACAAACCAAGTACAGAAAGCTTTTTTCTCCTCTACCTCTCTCTGTTGAGAGGTTTAATAGAGAGGAAAATGAATATTTTTGACTCTAGAACTCCCTACAGAAGCAGAGGCTTCTATGTTAGGATGAGGCTTTTGCAGAACACAAGACACAGCAGAAACCCAGAGAAGAGTTTTTGGTACAGATTTTTCAAATGGCTTCTTTTATTCTCTCTTGCATTTTACTTCTTTTCGTCTTTCTTTATCACCCACACCAAGCCCACCACCACCACCTTTATTTCAAAAGCCACCGTTTCTTCTTCCAAAGCCAGTCGTGTTCTAATTGAAGAATTGTCTACAAAACCTAAAAGCCCAGAAGGTACACAAAAAGTCTTATCATTTTTACAACATAGTGGCCGGAATATAAAAGATTGTTTTTTCGTGATTTTATTTCAGGTTCATTGAAGGGGATGAAGGTGTATGTTTACGATTTACCATCAAAATACAACACTTATTGGCTTTCAAATGAGCGGTGCAGCAACCATTTGTTTGCATCGGAGGTGGCTATTCACAAAGTCCTGATGACTAGCGATGTAAGAACATTAGACCCATGGGATGCTGACTTTTTCTTTGTGCCTGTTTACGTTTCCTGCAATTTTAGCAAAGTCAATGGCTTCCCAGATATTAGTCATGCACGTCCTCTCCTAGCCGCCGCCGTGAAGCACATTTCATCTCAGCTTCCGTTTTGGAACCGCAGCCTTGGTTCTGACCATATTTTTGTCGCATCCCATGATTTTGGTTCTTGTTTTCACACCATGGTACGCAAAATTAACCATTTTTGGGCAAAAAGTTATTTTGCTTTATTTGGGTTTTTTTGTTGGTAATATGCAGTTGAATCTTTCCACAGGAGGATATGGCAATGGCTGATGGTGTGCCAGAGTTTTTGAGGAATTCAATAATATTGCAAACATTTGGAGTCAAATATAAGCACCCATGTCAAGAAGTGGAAAATGTGGCGATTCCTCCGTATGTATCACCGGAAAATGTACGCTCCACCGTGGAGAAGTCACCGTTGACGGGCCGACGCAAAATTTTTGCGTTCTTTAGGGGCAAAATGGAAGTCCACCCTAAAAATATCAGTGGTCGTTTTTATAGCAAGTACTGGTTCATCCAATTATACAACAAATCATTCATTTCTTATTGCTGTTTCCATGCGAAATGACAATGCTAACCCTGCCTTGTTTATCTTTCAGGCGAGTGAGGACGATGATATTACAGAAATATGGCAATAACCGGAGGTTTTACTTAAGAAGACATAGATTAGCCGGTTACCAGTCAGAGATTGCAAACTCAATATTTTGTTTGGCTCCATTGGGATGGGCCCCTTGGAGTCCAAGACTTGTAGAATCCGTGGTTCTCGGATGTGTTCCGGTCATTATTTCAGATGGTATCCGATTACCATTCCCCTCCGCCATACCATGGGCGGAGATATCCCTTTCTGTTGCGGAGAAGGACGTGAAAAAATTGGGAAAAATCCTAGAACATGTCGCAGCCACCAATCTCACAACAATACAGAAAAACCTGTGGGACCCAAAAGTTAGGAGGGCCCTACTTTTCAACAATCCAATGGAAGAAGGCGACGCTACATTCCAAGTTCTTGTTGCCATATCAGAGAAGCTAGACAGGTCCCACAAGAGGTCAAAGGTTTCAAGCCAATAAAATTATGAAACGTGGCAGGTTTTGATTGGGTAAAATGGGCTGCCAGATTGAAGGCTCTGTTTTTTACGTGGATGGCAAGGCTGTGTACAGTGGGGGACAGCTGTGAATTATTGAACTACCCACAAAATGTGGGACCCGATATTTCGTATTTTTCGATGTTGCCACGTAGGGTCGTTCTGCTGAGTTGGCTTGATGTGATCGGACGTTGCTATTTTTGCTGTGGGGGCACGGTTTAATGCTGAGCATGTGAATATGAATGGTTTATTGGTGAAAATTAAATTTGGACATAGAAGGGAGTGCACTGTGTTGATGGTGCAGCTAATTTATTATGGATAATTAGCAGAAATGGTCTCCAACATTTATACTTTTTGCTAAAATGATCCTTATCGTTTTAAAATTGACATTTGTAAAGTTATTTTAAACGTTTCTTGCGGAATTGGTC